CGCAGCACCAGGGATGCTTAATAATACACTGGGCATTGCTGTCAAATAAGAATAATACTTCATCTGTGACAGCCCTTGAAATATCAACGGACTTATTCATCTTATCCTTGCTCATACAACTATTATCGGTGCTCCGTTAGTCCACCTAGAGTCACTAAACGTGCAGTGCATTTACTATCCTTCCTGTCAGATCACATATTTGGCTGTGTTCAGAAAAATTGCCGGATGCTTTTCACACTTTTGCCCCAACTGTGGGGCCACATTGTGTCACCATCAACAGCAGTACTTCAGCCATTTAAAATAATGTTTCGCTGCCATACAAACATGCCGACATATGGAATGAAGAATAATAAGAGGGACAAAAGAGGAAACTGACGCCAAAGAAACACTCGGGCGCCTACACCTTATCAACAATATATCATCACAAACAGGTGACTATCGTGCAAAGGTGAAGCGACATCGGTGAAATAGTTTCCTTGCGGCTTTCACTACTCCGCGTCATAACCAATCATTACTCTGCAACACCAATCCGCTTTAAACAGGCAGTCACACTAGGAGATGGTAGCGGACGTTCCATTGGTGTCGACTGCCATCTATATCCTGTCCACTTGGTAATGCGGGAAGGAAGCTACGGATTGAGTGACTCCAGTGTCATCGCGGCTACTGTTGCTTAAGCTGGTACTTATCGATTGAAGGCTAGCAATGGGAGTTGGGAGGGAGTAACAGCAACTAATGGCGAAGAAGGAAGCGAGGCGCCAGCAGTAGAACGTTTTGGCTTATCCGTCCTGCTGTATGCAGCAGATAAAGGACCCTTGCTAAACTTCGCGACGTCCGATGCAGATTATGGTTGAAGTTTGAAGTAGCAGTTATGGTGGTATGTGGACTGCAATATTGCCAGAGCGTCTAGACAGAGGCAGGACAACGGGACACTCTCCTGCTCCCCAAGTTTCACTAGCAGTTGTAAATGATCTACTAGAGCAGGGCTGGGGGAATTCTATCTGCCCTGCGGCCTTATGCAATTTCAACAGCCTGATCTCACGTTCGACTTCTGAGCGTGAGGGCGGATCCAAGGAGACGGTCCAGGCAGAATGGCCCTCAAAGCCCGAAACAGAAAGCGGTAACTCAGGTTGGTTAAACTGCCTTGCAAAGTCTTCGGCCCAACGCTCCAAACGTTTTGACAGGCTGTGTATCGGCTGCCTACTCTCGTCGCGTATGGTCTCGCTAACACCAGGTCTCCTGTTTCCTGTTTCCCGTATCAGATGGAATAATTCACGATGATTACCAATGATAGCGGCTGTTTCCATCTCTGAGGCACCATGAGACCACCAGCCTTCGCGGCCTTTCTTCATGCTAACACGCAGTTTTGCCGTGAGGTTTTTGCTAGCCTCATTGTATTCGCTTCCAGCCAGAATACGTTGGCGAGCATCCATAACTTCCAGAGACTTTTTAGAGACCCAATGTCCAGGTTGGCAATTGGATTTGCCACATGAAGACATGCTTACTGATAGTAAGGTCTGATGAATATGCGACCAGTGATCGTCGACGGTGTTCAGTGGGCGTTTACTCAGCCCGGATGTCAGCGCACTTTGATACACATTCTGAACACCTGGTTTCGCCAGTTGGCTGATGTCAATCCTTTCACATCGACATTCCGGACGTCTACCGAAACGCACCCGGTGGTCGGTGCAGACAAGTGCGTTTTCAGAGTCCACCCTCGTGCTCTAAATCGAGCGACGGTTTTAGACACAGCCACCAGCGGTAGCTGATCGCAATATGATCGATTTGTGTCCATGGCTAGCCCGAAGCTGGTGGGCGCCAAGTCACGCCGCTGCGGGTGCTGTGTCGAAAGTTAATGCTCGCGAGAAAGAGACGAGCAATCGCTCAGCGTTATCATTACGGGAGCCTACACTATGTTGGCCGTCCAGATGAAGCTTATCAGAGGACAATTTTCCGACTTGGGTGTTTAGATCGCGAGCTAACACTACGGTATCCGTGCTTCCACTGTAACGAAGAAGATCGTTAAGTTTGTGATAGCAATGAGCTTTCACCGAATCAAGGCTGCAGTTTGTTTTTGCGTATGCCCCAATGCCAAACGGGCACCGTTTGTCCTCGTGCGAATTCGTAGCCTGAAACGAGCCAGCCAACCTAACGGCGCACCTCCAGCTGTTAATAGCGATGCAGTCGACTAGGGCTGCTTTAGCTTAGGGGCTGAAAACAATGCCGACGCCAGCTTGACCGGCATTTGAAGCTGCATCATCGCCAGACAGGCACAATGAGAATGTAATTATGTGAAGTCCATCGCAGCCAGTTTCCAAATCAGATAGTCGTCCACATGCCCGGAAAAGCATTAGACTGCAGTTTCAGCTTGTTGGGCATCGTCAGTAGTGCGCATCCATCGGATCCGTCAGGATTCGAACCCATGACCACCAGCGGTTTGAACCGCCAGTCAGCAGCTTATGCCACTGGGCCATGGGGGACAACTTCGGACCGTCATGATTTACAAGCTAACTGAGATACAGCGCGTCTTATCCTCCACTGCCATGCAAGTTACGAACGTTGCAGAGGATAGGGTTGGCCCCGAAAGACACGACGTCCACTAACAGTAGCTATGTACGACATAGCATTTAGAAACTGTTAGTGGACGTCGTGTCTTTCGGGGCCAACCCTGTCCTCTGCAACGTTCGTAACTTGCATGGCAGTGGAGGATAAGACGCGCTGTATCTCAGTTAGATTGTAAATCATGACGGTCCGAAGCTGTCCCCCGTGACCCAGTGGCATAAGCTGCTGACTGGCGGTTCAAGCCGCTGGTGGTCATGGGTTCGAATCCTGACGGATGCGATGGATGCACACTACTGACGATGCCCAACTGGCTGATACTGCAGTCTAATGCTTTTCCTGGGCATGTGGACGACTATCTGATTTGGAAACTGGCTGCGAGGGACCTCACATAATTACATCAAAATCCCCTACTCATGAGTACAACAATGAGAATGTGCCGCCAGTGTCGCAAATGAGGATAGTAGGGTAAGCACGGAGCTCGAATATTGCGGGCGTGTTTCTGATAGACAGCAAATATCGATCGATAGGGTCTCTAGTGTGCGGGCAAGTGCTGCCTGTTGGCCAATCTGTCGCAAACTGCGCACATTGAAGCATGCCACTCTTAGCGAGACGCGAGGACTGCAAAGGGAAACGGCTGAATTGACGGTGTCCGCTAGGTGGAACATGGGCTTGTTGACTGGTTTGGGGCGACGCCCTGCGACTGTGTGTGAGTTGCAACAAGAAGACAAGCGACTATTGAAACAAGGTGGGGGAGGGCCAATAATTGGGGGATTTAAAATGGGGGAATAAAAGTAAAGTTGGGGCAGGACGATAAGAATGAAAAAGTGCAAGAATGGGGATAAGAAGACGGCAAGGTCTGAGCAGTGGCATTTAAACCCCCTATCCACCGTGCTCCATGCAGCAGATAGGGCGCCGTTTATTATCCTCTGCGACGGCCAGAGCATCATGAAATTGTTTGATAAAGGGTTCATTGTATTGCGTGGGCAGATTACTGTCAGGTTGCCCAGGCCTAGACAGGAGAACGATTAGGGTTCTCAACCAGAGCCTTTAGTTCAAAAACCTGACAGCAAGTCAGCGGAGTTTTGGCACTTCACTACGGAGTGCCCGTTTTATGGAATAAGAAGCCACCCTCATTCCAACCCTCAACATGGAGGACCAGGATGCTGAATTTGTCTGGCCCCTAATCATTGACCAGTCTGGTATGAGTGACTCTGAAAGTGCAAAAATGCACCACCCAGTATAGCTCATTGGATCACTGAGGCACACAAACAATCGCTCCATGTTAAGGTTCAGTCTCGTCGCGATGGCCTCAATACAAAAAGATAAGATGTATAAGAAAACGACACACCGAACATTATGAAATATCAAAAACAACGAGTAATATATTGCTTACTAATATACTATGCTTCAAGACAGATAAGTAGGGTTTGGATGGGGAGGGACAAAGAAACCTAGAGCACAAACGGCATTGTGATGGGCTCCTGGCCATGTCAACTAGTAGAGTAGGTTTGTTACGTTGGATGATACTGATTAGTCGAACCAGTCAAATGTGGACACAGTCAGACTGTCTTCGGAATCCGGAAAGGTATTTTCACCGCTTCATCTGAAAATATTATACTGCCACCTTTCCGGATCCAGAAGGCCGTCTGTCTGTACCTAGAGGTGACTTGTTCAATTCATTGGTATCATTCAACGTCCAAAGACTACTCCAAACTATTTTCCGCACTCCTTGCACGCGACTTCTGTGTGTCCTGGGGTGTTTCCTTTCTCGTCAGAACTAGTGTTATCACCTTCCCTTATTTACTATGTCCACCAGGTAGCACTGATCACACTTGTGCTCGACTTTAACACTGAACCATCCACCTCGTGAACTCATCGATTTTCTAATGAATTCGAACTTGTCCACCTCTGCAAAGATGGGCTATGTCCCCTGTATGCCATTTGACCAATTTTTCGGCGTGTATTAAACGTCCTCTATGCACCTGAACTTGTAAAATGGTTAGTCGATGACGTGGCATGAACGCATGGAACGATTGTCCGGGAGACTTGGCCAGGTTATTACGCTAATGGGCGTTTTGTGATGAGCCACCTAGTATGATGCACTCGTAGATTCACGGAAACTCATGCATTCGGCTCCTTGTATATGATTGTAATTCATTATTTCTGAACTTTACATGCAACCTCATTCTTCTCATGACTGCTGATTGTTATTAGCCTGGCGATGTGAAGCATACCTGTTTAGTTCATCGCACTTTTTCGCTTCAACCATAGTTATTAAACTGAACCGAACCGATTTGACGCTTGATTGGGACCAAATTTATGTTTATATGGTGCATTTTAAACAGAAACTTTAGATTTCCGACGCATAGCCTTTGTTCTACATCTTCCTTACTGACCCTCATAATTACGACGTATGGTTTTTCTTTCCTTTCCAATTTCAGGCCATGTTGCACGGCTACAATTCTTCCCAATGCGTCAACTATTTAATTGATGGCTTCCCCCGGAACTCTGACAACCGTAGCTGTTGGGAGTCGGAGATGGCGTCGAAAAGTGTGCTGAAACGAGTGATCGTTCTGGATTGCCCGGATGAAGTGAGTCAAGCTTTGTACGACACTAGAATCGATCCGGCGCGGCAGTGTGACCCATCCCGCTATTGAATCACATTCTTACTTAGTGTGCATCCGCAGGCACTGGTTCTAACCCACTGCAAGTGCTACTTGCACTTTCTTACTGAGGTTCCAGCGATAGGCTCGATTTTCTTTCTCCGGCCACAAAATTCATCTAACTGCACTTGTTGGAGGATGGTGATTGGACCATCACTTCCCACTTCGTCTGTTTCTTTTAATCAATGGTTCCGAAATATCAGGACCACGACACCCCCCTACAGTTATCACTTAGGTCCTTCTTCCATCAATCACACGCGGATATGGTGGGTCTCTCCACGCCGCGTGACAGTTCCTTGTCGGAGTATATTTGCATCAGTCTACTAATAGACATAGAGCCATCCGAAACCATGGAACTCAGAGATAAAGTATAGAAATAGTAAAAGAAAACACAACACAAAACATCAAAGTCCATGGTTTCGTCAGAGGGTGAGATACTACCCGGTCGCCCAAGCCGAAGTAGGGTGTTGACTTTGGGGACACCACCTCGAGCCTTTGGCTGAATAGCCTGCCCGCAACGCAGCGGAGCGAATTCAGGGAATCGCGCCCATTGGGAGCCGGTGACTGATTGCTCAGTTCATACGCCTTGTCGGAGTAGCAAAACGGATCACAAACGAGCAGCACCCAATTTCCTTCTGCTCCATAAACTACGGTGCTAGCGATCGAATCGGCCAAGGTTCGCTTCATTGCGAATCGCTGTCTACATTGAGATTATTTACCACAGTCCAGTCACCCAACGTGTACTGCTAAATGACTCTCCAATCACGTTATAGATTATTTTCGAATGCATGTTAACAACAGTTTCGATCGGAGATTATTGTTGTGTCCGTCTCGCGGACTGATCTCTTCCATTCCGATAACAACGACAGCCAGACTAGCAAGAACAAAATTCTTCGTATCGAAGCACAGCATAGGAAATGTATAAGAAACGCACAGCTATAAAAGGCAACAAAAGCGCCGAGTATAGCCAGATTAAGCACAGGTTAGATGCTCAGTCAACCAGCAGTAGGAGGTGATGTTATCGCCTGGGGCCTTCAAAAGCAACGACTCCTAACTGCCTGTGGGATTAATATAGCGACGCGTTAAAACAAATGTTATGGACTAATCACAACAAAATGACAACTCACAGATAAGCAATTTCACATAGCCGCATCTGTTTGCATTTCATCTAACAACTACTGACTGTTCGAAGTACATCCCTATACTGTCGAAAGACCTCTTAGTTATAATGCTGAATATGGATAAACGTTAGAAACGGTCTTAGCCAGTGTGCCAGCTCTGCTGAGTAGGGTAATTGGCTTCATTGGGTCACTATTCTCTGGGTACATCCGTCACCCCCGCCTCTTCTCAAGATATTATAAATGTAGTTTTTTGGGGTTCTTGAACCTGGCTTCAGCAGTATGCCAGTATGCAGTACCGATGCTTCGCTGCCGCATAACCACCACCAGTCGCACGTGGGTTAAGCATACTGCGAGGGTGGCCCTGTTCCCACCCAAGCTTGAACCCGCGTCCTCGGATTACGAGGCAAGCTTTTGATCCTTAACTCTAAGGGCCGGATCTCATGAATCTGACAGCCATTTGACGAGCTGTGCAGCATCCTGCCGCGCGGCGCTGGTATCCTACCACTTCAAGCATCCGAATATACTGCTTACGGTTAGAAACACGAAAAATACCTGAAGAGAACGTAACACTGTGCTTGTGTTACCTGAGAAGTGGTAATCCTTTTGAAGCTCAGAGACATCAACAGCTAATTCTTCGAACTCCTTAAACGGCCAAATAACTGAAGTATGTATGTATGTATTCTCAACAGTCTATTAGCTAGACACAGAGCCAGCATAAAGCCATGGAGATCAGGAGATAAGCAAGATTCATGGCGTCATAATCATCGTGGCATGCTAGTTGAAAGTGAGCAACACACTTCAACTAATATGCCGCAGGAAGAATGGAACATTTTGATAAAAAGTAGAACAAAACATTTTTAGTTTGTTTTCACACGCCGTTTTTGTTCTTTTTTGTCATTTTAATGTTTGTAGTATTAAACATGTTAATCAAAACAATATTGTACACAATTCTTCCATTGATTCCGGTTGCGGGCCATATCTTCAAGAGTGCTAAGCCACTGGCACTCCTCATCTTTGGGTCCCCATCCTGGAAGACGTACGGATCCTACAGCGGCAAGACACGACGTCAGCGATTTCATGTGCTGCCGCCAAGTGGAAGGATGACCACCACACGATCGCCTCCAGCCAGGTCCTTGACGAGCGAATAGAGCGCGACGCGGTAGACGCTCAGGTGCCATGCGTAGGACGTGACCGAGCCATCTCAAATGGCGCAACAAAACCAGTTTATTGAAGGGAATACTCGCATTCCCCAAGATGCGACGTCGAACGTCATTACTATTTACTCGATGTTGCCACCAAACACGAGCGATCCTCCTTAAGCAACCGTTATCGAACGCAGAAAGACGACGCATGTCTTCCACGCGAATCGGCCAGGACTCGCACCCATACAACAACACTGAGCGAACTGATGCGCTGTAAACGCGGCCCTTTAGCGAGAATTAGACGTCGCGACGACGCCACAAGTGCCTCAGATTGACGAATGCTGATCGAGCTTTAGCGATACAAAGAGAAACTTCTTTGTTGATAGTGCCGTCAGCAGAAACACAGCTCCCAAGGTAGACGAAACTATCTACCTGTTCAAGTTGTGCACCTTCGAGAGTGAGCACGGGAGCAGGTGAAAGCCAATCCTTGAGCAGTACTTTACACTTCGATGGGGCGAAGCTCATGCCATACTTAGATGCTTCAACCGCGAAACGACCCAGAATGACTTGCATACTCTGAGGATCTTCACCAAGTAAGGCGATATCATCAGCATAATCTCAGTCGGTTCTGCGCTCACCCGGTAGAAGCTCTAAGCCAAAATGTTGGAAACCTTCTAGAGCATTCGACAGAACGTCTTCGATTGCGAAGTTGAAGAGGAATGAGGACATAGGGCAGCCCTGTCGCACACCGCTATTGACAGCGAATTGCGAGGAAAGCTTGCCATAGACCCTCACTCTGCCGGATGTATGAAGGTAAAGTGCTCGCAAGATGGCGGTATATTTCTCTGGCACCCCGTTCTTTAGCAAGCAACGCCATAAAGCCGGTCGATCAACGGAGTCAAAAGCGACACGTATGTCTAAAAATGCAATGGTAATGGGCCTGTGATAAATGTGGCGATGTTCGAGGAGCTGGTGGAGCGTGAAGATTTGATCCACGCATCCGCGGCCAGGACGGAAACCAGCTTGTTCTTCACGGTAGTATGATTCACGTACTGGAGATAGCCTGCGAAGCAGAATGGATGCTAATAGCTTAGAGGCAACCGAAATAAGACTAATCCCGCGATGATTTGCCCTTGAAGTGCGAGCGCCTTTCTTGAAAATCGGGATAATGACTGATTCTCCCCAAGAGGAAGGCACTTTCTCTTCATGTCAAATTTTTGCGAACAGCGCGGTCAGCTGGTTAATGATCGCCACACCGCTGTACTTGAATACTTCCGGAGGAAGTCCGTCTAAACTGGCAGCCTTGAAGCGCTTCAAGCTTCGAATCTCGAGGCAGACTTCCGCTTCGCTGGGTGGATTCAGAGGGACGAGCCAGGGTGGACAACAACGCGTACTGCGTGTGCTGATGGATGGTGGAGGCCAGTTGAACTGCGAGTGAAAGTGCTCGGCCCAACGGTCCATACGCCTCTGTTGGTTGGTGATCGGAGACTCATCCACCTCACAAATGGCCTCACTGACACCAGGTTTCCTGAGGCCAGTGAACCGAATGAGTTGGAAAAGCCTGCGAGTGTTGCCAGAGAGGGCAGCAGTCTCCATCTCTAAAGCACGTTCAGACCACCACGTTACGCGATCCTTGCGTAGGCTTTGCTTGAGCAGCTGGTTGGCAGAACGGCGCCGCTCGTTGCAATCTGATTCCGCGGGGATATCTTTGCGGCGTTCGAATAGCTCCAGAGAACGAGCAGAGATCCAAGCCTTTAGGGGGCGTCGAGTTAGGCCGCGGCATGACTGTCCGAAAATGGTCATTGCCTTCCGTATACAAGTCCAGTGTTGTTCCACTTCTTGCGGTGGATTGCAACTGAGTGCATATGCCAATGAAGACTGATAGCTCGTCTGAACAGAGGAATCAGTTAATCTGTTTACATCAATCTTGCGGTGCTTTGTGTTTTGGGATCCTCCAAAACACATACGGATTTTCGCGCAGACCAGAGCATGATCTGAGTCAACGAAGGTGGACCAAAAGGACCTGCAGTCCAGTACGCTGCCGCGCCATCTGAAGCTAATTGCAATGTGATCAATTTGAGACCACGGTTGTGTTGAAGAAGGGGGACGCCACGTTGCGGAACGCTTCTTCGTACGCCTGAAGTTAGTGCTCGAAAGAAACCGACGGTTGTCTTCGCACAATGTGAGAAGTCTCTCTCCGTTATCAGAGCGGTTCTCATCGAGCGAGTGATGACCACCAAGGTGGCGTTCGTATGGTAACAGGCGGCCAACCCGTGTATTAAAATCCCCAGCAAGGATAACGACATCCGACTATTTAGCATTAGTCAAGAGCTGTTGTAGATCCCGGTAGAATTCGTCCTTGACCGAGTCGCCACTGCAGTCAGTTGGAGCGTACACGGAGATCACAAACAAGTTGTGTCTCTCTCCGCGGTGCCTGTTGATTCTACACGAACCCCGAAGCCGAACTGCACATAGTCGGCTGTTAATCGGGAACCAGTCCAGTAGTGCCGTCTCGGCCTTGTGACTTAGTGCTATACCTACGCCATCCAGACCCACTGAGGCTGCTTCTGGATCTCCAGAAAGACGCAGGTGATATATGGCTTCGTGGTCAGTGGGGGATGTCAGTGTAAGCACAGTGCTGGGATCTTGCAATCGGGTTTCTGAA